TCAGAAGACAAAACGTCTGGCCCCGGGGACTGAACAGGATTGGATCCTATTTTTCTCTGAGTTCATGTTGTCCTCCAAAGAGCAAATATGAAGTGCGAGAAGGATGCTACTTTCTATCTTCAATAGGGTGTTACAGATGGAATATTCCTTATTGGAATCAGGGTTTTATGCATTAGGATTGAAAGTTCTACTATGGTACAGTTTGAGCCCTCATTCCTTTAAACAGAATGTTACTGAAAATTGCTCTTGCTCCCAGGCATTTCAGCCCAACTTCTAAATCTACTTTGAAGTCTGTTTTATAACAGTTATTCAGAGGTTAATAATAACACTAATATAATTTATTCAATTTATGAAAACACCGCATCAGAACTCAATGATAATATACAAGTACCACTTTGCCCTGCCTGATTCTCAATACACAAACAGGGCAATTCAGCTGTCTAAGATCTTCAGCATAAAACCATTTGCCCTGTCTCCTATCTTATGAACTTATTTGCCCCATTAAAAGGCATCCTAATAAATTTTATTGCCCCTTCACTCTCTTAGATGCAGAAAAATAATTAAAATAATATCACATTATATTATGTACAGGTAGTCCTCAACTTACAACCACAATTGAGCTCAAAATTTTTGTTGTTCAGTGAGGCATTTGTTAAGTGAGTTTTGGCCTATATTACCACCTTTAACTGTTGTTAAATGAATCTGGCTTCCCCATTGACTTTGGTTGTCAGAAGCTGGCAAAGGTGATCACATGATCTTGGGACATAGCAACACACATAAATATGAACCAGTTGCCAAGCATCTAAATTTTGATCACATGATCATGGCGATGCTGCAAAGATCATAACTGTGAAAAACTGTCATTTTTTCAGTGCCATTGGAACTTTGAATGGTCACTAAATGAACTATTTTAAGTGGAGGACTACCTGTATAACAAATATATAATATAGAGAGTTGTGATAGCACAGTAGTTAGAATGCAACATACTGCAGTCTAACTCTGTTGACTGCCAGCAGTTTGATTCTGATCGGCTCGAGATTGACTCAACCTTCCATCCTTCTGAGGTGGGTAAAATGATGACCCAAATTGTTGGAGGAAATATGCTGACTCTGTAAACCACATGGAGAGGGCTGTAAACAGGGGTGGGATTCTACCGGTTCAGACCGGTTCGGGTGAAACAGCCCTACTCTTTCCTGTGTTTTATTTCCTAGGTTTTTTTTTTAACACAGCTGATTTGTGTGGCAGAGAGGTTTGCCGTGCATCAGTGTTTTACTCACTGGGGATGCAGCAGAAGGTAAGTAATTAAGTTGAAAATGGGCTTTTTAAAATGTAGAGCACACGTGCAAAGCACATGTTTAGTGCATGTGTTGCGCTTACTGAACTGGTTGTTAAACCGGTTGAATTGTACCACTGGCTGTAAAGCACTATCAAGCGGTATATAAGTCTATGTGCTATTTCTAAATATATAATATGATGTATCAAAAGACGATTTCTTCTGGCATGCTGCTCAGTTATCATATCTCCACACTCTAGTTAAAACACTTACAGGTAGATCTAATTAAAACATTTGCAGCTAGAGCTTGTATTAAAATTCTTGAGTAAAATAGTTCTTTGTTATTCCCCTAAACAAAGAAACCTATGTGTATAAAAATCTTGGTGATAATACGCACCTGTCTTGAAGTGCTGGAATCTTAGAGGGGCACTGCAAATACTGCTTAAAACGAAGTTCAAATGCTTGCCCTATAGTACTGATTATATCCTGGGCAAGCCCATCATAACATTCAAGAATATGACATGCTGGAAGTGATGAAAAAACAAGACCATTATTCAAATATATATCCAGGAAAAATCTCTACTACAGTTTCCAATTTTATTTGCTGAATTGTGTAAATATGAAAAAAAAAAACATCTAAGCAATGTTAATGACATCATACTGGCATTGTTTTAATTCTTGATTAGGAGCAGTTCAAACTTTGATATAAAGTGAACATCTAGATAAATGTTTTAAATAAATAAATAAAATTTTATCTGACCACTAGGCCATCCCTGGAAAGTAAAGCAAAAAAAATGAAGATCTGACTGGAACTATAGGATGTCTACTCCTGGTATAAGTGATTAATATGTTTCATTTCTTTGATAAACTTTGATACGTCAATTAGTCTTCAAGGTAGCTCAAGACCATGTTATAATGCATTTCTATCCACTCCTTAGCTAAAAAGCCCCCAAAGTGGCTTAAACATCATCAAAAGTTATCTTGCAGCAGTTAACTGGGTGGTCTACCTTGCTTCCTTGCAAAATCTGATGATCAAATTTGACATACAGATGAAAACTAGTCTACCTCAACTTTTGCTGAACTCTGCTACATCATTTGTAAAATGTTGAGAATTCTGCCCTTCCTGTCAGAAGTCATAGGTTTGAAAGGACAGGGAGCCAATCCAGCAGCATAGCAAATGCTACATATCTAACTATCCTCAAGCAAGTTCTTATGAAAATCTCTTGAGGGAGCAAAGTTATAAAGTAAGTTAATCTTGCATGCGGATGCAATGCACTCTGCTGGACTGGCTGCTAATACAATCATTATTTTTCCATTTCAAAGAGCTGTGGTGCCATAGTGGTTAGAACGTAATATTGCAGGCTAATTCTGCCGACTGCCAGCAGTTTGATTCTCACCGGCTCAAGGTTGACTCAGCCTTCCATCCTTCCAAGGTCAGTAAAATGAGGATCAGACTGTTGGGGGCAATGTGCTGACTCTGTAAACTGTTTAAAGTGGGCTGTAAAGTACGATGAAGCGGTCTAAGTGCTATTGCTATTGCAGCTCTTTTTTCTAATATAGGAAAGGATGGGAGAGTCAGTCTCAGATCTTTGATTATTTTATTAATTTGACCCTCATCATTTTGAAGGCAAGATGTGCTTTAAATGAAACATCTGAACAAATAAATACAAGCAAACTGCTAGCCAAATATCTGCAGGAAGCCATTAGAAATAGAATAATTGAAGAGAATCTTCTCTAATTGAAGAGAACCTGAACAATATATGTTTTCAAAAGGGAAATGAGACTAAAGATAAGGTATTTTTTTACCTCTGTGATTAACAGGATCCTTAGCTACATATGCAACATAGTCTGTTGTATCCTGTTGGAGGAAGATAGAGAATAAAAAAGTGAAACATCTATCATGAATATGAAAGTTTCCTTTTGTGCTGAATCAGAGGTCAGCTGAATTTTCATCTGAATCTTTGCAATCTGGTACTTAAGCCTGGATCCCATGGTGACAAAAATGTTATAAACATCAATCAAATTAAATTTTAGGACAGATACATTAATCAAGCAGGCATTCTCAAAGACTTGCATAGGTAACTTTGTAAAGTACTAACTGAGCAAATCTTTAGGTTAGAAAATCAACTGAAAGCTTAAGATGCTATTTTCAAAAACTGGGCTATAGTTTTCAAGGTTACAAATTATGAAATTATTTGACTAAACACCACTGAAAATATATTCATGTATCACAAGCATGTTCAAATAAACTGAAATTTTCTTTGTCTTTCTCCCTTACCACTAAGCTCCAGGGTGTAACAACGAGCAATTTTTTTCTCAAGAAAGATAAGAAATAAATTTGGCACAATAACCTCTTGCATCAATAGCAAATGGTAAAAAGGAAGAGACTTACCACATCTACTCCAGATGCAAAAGAAATAGATTGCATATGATGGTTTGCTATAATCTGTAGAGTTAAGAAAACATAATGTGTAAGATACACAGAATGCTGGTTTTCCTTTTTTTTTTCCAGCTGTGTTCTTGAGTGTGTAAAATCAGAAGTCCAAATTAGAAATACAAGGGTATCAGTGACAAATATCATGTATCTCTACGCCTCCATTTATAGTACATTCAAATGACAACTCTGTCTGTAAGATCTTCAAGAAACATTCAGATGTGAATCTGGAATTTGGCAATGAAAGTCAATATTTGCTTTGCCACCCTCTTTGATTTTCTTTGTTTCTTTTTAATTTCAGTATGGCTCTTACTATACAGAGATCCTTTCATTATTAGCTGCTTCCAGAATAAGTGCAAAGAGCTAACAACCTCCATTTAATGCCTGTCCCCATGACACTGTTTTTGTCTTATCCTCTGGCTATGGTTTACATCAGGGGTCCCCAACCACCGGTCCGCGGACCGGTACCGGTCCGCGGAACAACTCCTACCGGGCCGCGGCTTGCTGGGCGCCGCCATCTTTTTTTCATGAAAAAGTGCTTCTGGTGAGCTTTTCCGGGTAGAAAGCTCACCGGAAGCACTTTTTCATCAAAAAAAGATGGCGGCGCCCAGCTGATGCCGGTACCGGGCCGCAGCACCCAGCTGATGCCGGTACCGGGCCGTGGCGTCAAAAAGGTTGGGGATCACTGGTTTACATAGCCCTACCCTACTGTTTTCTATATTGACAAACACCCAGTCCTTTCTCTTTAAACCACCAGAGTCACATCACAATGTTGTCTAAAACAATTAATCTTACAACATACAAAGCAAATTCACAGCTTGAAAATAGCAGAACAATAACTATGCAAAGAAGGATACCCTAATCATTACCCACTTTACACCTGCAGGAAGTAGATTAATAGATCAATAGATTAAAGGAGTTGGAAGGGGCCTTGTAGGTCATCTAGTCCAACCCACCCACCCACCCAAGCAGGAGACCCTGACAAATGGCAATCCAATCTCTTCTTGAAAGCTTCCAGTGATGAAGCTCCCACAACTTCTGAAGGCAAGCTATTCCATTGGTACTTGAAGGGGTGGGGAAATGATCTCAATTAGTGGTGAGTTCAAATGGAAGAAATGGCCTCTTGAGTTATACTACTTACCTATATTTTTACTGAAGTAAATTGGATATTCAAATGTTCATTTTTTTAAATTATAAGGATTAAAAATGGAAATAGCTTGCTTACAGTAACCATAAGATTTTAAAAAGAGAGAATGGGAATGACAAAAATACCAACCTGCTTGCAGTCAGGAGTCATCAGGTTTAAACTGGTGGTAGATATATTCAGACTGATGTTCATTCCTGCAAACTGAAGATTGCTCTTCCCCAGAATATTAGAGAGAGCTTTACTTGGTGGCTGGAAAAGTAAAATGCATGTATTTCAATATTCTACCCATATTTGACAGCTTCTGAATCCCACTGAATAAATTGACACCTCTAAAATTTAAAAATCAAGAATGTGACAATTTAATCAACGGTGTACAGATGCTTTAAATACTGATTTAAAAGAAAGAGAAAATACTATAGAGAAGAAAAATGGACCTCATTTTCTATAATTGAGAGATGGAAGCAATAGTTTTAAAACTGGAATCATCAACCTTTTCTGGAAACTGAAATCAGTAACCCCGATTGCTGGTGAGAATTTGCAGGATTGCAAACCTTAACTCCTACTTAAGATTTTTTATTATTATTTTTCAAAAAGCATTTATAGGTAGTTCTTGACTTACGACTACAATTGAGCCCAAAATTTCTGCTGCTAAGCTAGACAGTTGTTAAGTGAATTTTACCCCATTTTTGACCTTTCTTGCCCCAGTTATTAAATGAATCACTGCAGTTTTAGGTTGGTTGTTAAATGAATCTGGCTTCCCCATTGACTGCTTGATAGAAGGTCACATCCTGGGATACTGCAACTGTCATAAATATGAGCCAGTGGACAAGCATCTGAATTTTGATCATGTGACTGGGGATGCGGCAACAGTTGTGTGAAAAATGGTCATAAGCCACTTTTTTCAGTGCCATTATAACTTCATATGGTGACTAAATGACTATTCTTTATTTTAAAGGGCACTTGTATTGACTGAAGACAAATAGGTTTCTGAATAGGCACCACATTTTTTAATGATCCTAATAGCTATGGGTTGGATCAATGATCATATAAATATGCACACACAATATACATTAAATGCATGAACTTATAAATAAATATAAATATGGCCTAGTTATTTCAGGGACCATTTATCTCCTGAAGTTTGTGCCCATCCTGTAAAATTGGGCAGAGTTGGCATCTCCTGGTTCCATCAATTAAATAGTGTTGACTGATAGGATCCATGAAGTGGGCCTTCTTTGTTTCTGAGCCTGCCCTTTTGTAAGAATATTCCCTCAGATTCCTATGCCCTCGGAAGTTGTGGGTGAGCCATCACTTGAAACTTTCAAGAAGAGATTGGACTCCCATCTGTCAGAAATGGTGTAGGGTCTCCTGCTTGGGCAGGGGGTTGGACTAGATGATTTACAAGATCCCTTCCAACTCTGATTATCTGTTATGTGTTATATGGCCTCTACCCTGGCCTTACTTAAACTAGCCCTTTAAACCCAATTCTTCTCCAGGGACTAACACTTAGAGTGGCCGACCCCATGTATGATTATTGGATTGCTAGAGACTGAGCTATTTTCCTCCCAACATTTGGTTTTATTTGGTTGTGTATTATATTGTCTCAAATTGTTTAATATTGTATACTAGAGATGCAACAGAGTTGGGCAGCAAGAATCAATCAATCGATCAATAAATAAAAAAATCTGTCTCCAATCTCAATGTTTTAAAATAAAGTTTGAGAGCAGTGGCTATTCAGCTCCACATAATTTTATTAACAATTGCTAAGATTCTTGCTAGATTTGGAGACAAAATAGTCTTAGTATGTTAAAATTAAACTTGTCTGTGATTGGATAGTAGAAATATGACCCTTTCAAGCATACTGTGTCCCACTGAAGTTTGACATCAATAATACACTATGATTAGAAGGTAGGCATATAGCATGTGTCTTAAACCTCAGCGGAATGGCTAGTTTCGGTTCTTTCATTCCATGTCATTTGAGTTGAGAGATGATGTACAAATCAAATTTAACTTGCATACTTTGTGATATCCATGTGAAACCAAACATCTGGAGGTTTTGTTTACATTGTTATAAATATATAAAAGACACATACTGTACCTACCTCTTGTCTACAAATTAATCCCACAACAGTTGTGGATATCCCGAGGGAATCACTGAATAATGTTTGAGGGAAAATAGGCATGGATTCAATTCAATCATTTTGTGGATTGGGAAATCAATGGTTTGGAATGGTGGGATTGCTTTCCTCTTGAAGAATTAAGTGTGAGGTTGATAATTCTCTTGAGCTCACTACTATAGTCAATAGCCTGGGTGGTAGAAGTTATAAAAAATGTCTTTTACTAGTTAAGGACAACATAGCAACTATCACATGTGCAAAATTGTAGAAACTACCATAGTCATTTGTAACCCACCTCTACTTATCACTAAATTGAAGTAATGTTCTATTCTACACTGTAGTTGCTTTGAATCTAGCTCAGAAACTCACAAATACCTCAATGTGAATGAAAGAACAATGAAAGGAAATGGGTTACGTTTGTTGAGAAGGTGAGTTTAAAAAGTGAATACTAACTAAATATTCTGCCCATTTTAAAGGATGGGCACAAACTTCAGGAGATAGATGGCCCCTGAAACAACTAGGCCATATTTATATTTATGTATATTTATATGCATTTAATGTTAATTGTATGTGCATATATTTATATGATCACTGACCTACCCTGTAGCAATTAGGATCATAAACAATGCAGTGCCCTATTCAGAAATCTGAAGCTTCCGGATAGGTACTTTTATGATATTCTGGTTAGGGCTACCAGATATGGGGTGTCTTTAGAGAACTGCTAGGTTTTTAAATGGCACTAAGATTTAAAATTGTCTGTGTCTTTTCACAGTCATCTAGTAGTCATCTGGATTGAAAACCAGTTTGGTCTAATGGCTAATCCTTAACCCTGGTTAACTCTGGTTAATACACCGAGCAAGGAAAAAGAAAACCTGAGTTCCAGTCCTGCCTTTGGCGTAGAAACCAACTGCATACTTTGGGCTCTTTCAACCTTAGGAAGAAGACAGTAGCAAACCACTTCTAAAAATGTGGCTGAGAAAACTGAATGAATTTATCCATGTAGTCACCAGTAGTCAAAATATAAATGTGAATAAAAAGATAATTCTTCTTACCAGGACCTTATTCTGCTCAAATTCTTATATATGTTTGTACAAAAAAACTAAATGTAAATGTACTTAGTGCTTGTGAATTATTTGTATCACATTATCTTGGGTAGAAGCAATATAAATTAATAAAGAAACAAGACAGCAGTTTTGTTTGAAGGTGAAGATGTTCTAGGACTGAAAAGACTCAGGCTCATGTCTCCTTTGAGGCACAGAAGCTGACTGGTTAATTTTGGGATATTTTTTGGAGATAAAATTGGAGAAGGACATGATAGTTGGGAAACAATATAATGGTAAGTCAATAAATAAATAATTAAGATTACTACCTTTCTTCTTTTAAAAGCTCCTTTGGTTCCTGGCAAAGCTTCACAAACAAGGCCAATTGCTTCTCTAAAAAGATGGAATAGGATGTCAAAAGCAAATGCTTATGCTATTTTTCTTCATTTATTTTTACAAACAGTGCTTGAAAACCTAAATTGGTCCCTTATGACATTAATGTATATAAGAATCTGCAGAAAAATCTGAAGTTAAAATTAGCATTGTATGATATTAGGCAGTTGAAATATTGTATATTTTGACAATTTCATAACTTGCATTAATTGTGCTAATAGGAACAGCTGGATGACTGAAACAGCAAATTCTCCTAGAGGAATGTGAGTTAATAGCAGAATATATTTTTAATGCATGGATTTTCCTTCTACCTGAAAGATATACTTTGGGTTTCTGGAGTCAATGAGATTGATTTTAGATTAGATATAACAGGCACTTCCATACCGAAGAGAGTATATGAACATTTATTTTGAATCAATGCAAACAGTCTGAATAAATATATGGCAAATTCTGTCAACTCTTAATTTTCATTTTCTTGCAGTTTTTGGTTTAAATGCACACAAGCACATGAACATACACCAACACAGAGCACAATGCTTCACCGTCAAATCAAGTCAAATAAACTCTTATTGAATATAATGTCAGGATGATCTGAGTGCTTTGTTACAGAAAAAGACTCCTCAGTCTTAATATTTACTTCTATTATAGATGGACTGTTAATTTTATTAGTTGTATGCTGATCTATGACTGAAATAAAATAAAATGAAAAGAAATGTAAAATAAAAATTTTGCGTTGAATAACCTTCATAGTTCCATAGCCATAAAGGATTGGCAGTAATGTTCTACAGATACTGGTAATCCTCGATTTACAACCACAATTGAGTCCAGGATTTATTTTGCTAAGTGAGACATTTGTCCGATTTTATGATCTTTCTTGTCACAACTGTGAACCACTGCAGTTGCTAAATTAGTAACATGGTTGTTAAGTGAATCTGGCTTCCCCATTGATTTAGCTGGTCAGAGGGCTGGAAAAGATGGTTACATGACCCCAGGACACTGCAACGTCATAAATATGAACCAGTTGTCAAGCATCCAAATGTAAATCACATGACCATGGGGATGTCATAGGTCATTTCAGCAGCTGCAAAATTATTGTTTCATAGGACATGACATAATAGTTGCTAGCATTCTTTCCTCTGATAGTTGTTCCCTATGCTGGGACTGG